CGTTGTAGATGTAACGCGAGATGGTAGCCGATCTGCGACCTCTATAGGAGAAGCCCGCGAGCGACTGACCAGTGGAGTCAGTCGTCCGCTGTATATCAGGTGATCCGTCTGCTCGTTTACCGGCTTATGCCATAAAAAATCTAATATAATTAGGTATATACAGAACCGTCTTAGCTCTTACTACGCTGTGGCCCTTGGGCACAATGGTTCGGGGCCCTCACACTAGGATTATCTCCTGTGTCGTGTGTCCGTTTACAAACATACCTACAAGTTCACATACACATCACACACAGACCCGGAACTACAATCTGTAAATCATGCAATTATACTGTGCGATAATCAATACCGATGCACGTTGTGCGGCAGCCGGTTACCACTCAACGTGCAGTATAAGGATAGGGTAGATGCCTTATTTTTATTTTAATGTCCGTCTGGTAGAATATTTTAAATCATTAGACACGTATTTTTTATTTTCTTGCAGAAACGAATATTTTCGACGATATATTGATTTGAAATGTCGCGTGACGTCAATTCTATGTACATTTTATACGTAGAAATGACGTTTTAGCCCCCACTCCTAAACTTTGATTCGTTTTATCTAAGCATTGTTCTATTATACGACAAAATAAAAAAAATACTTGTCTAATATTTTTTCATTATCTAACTTACGGACTAGTTATATTTTTAATTATCGGTTCTTCGGGATCCAGGTATGGATATCAAAACAAATAATGTCAATGTACGTATAATATGAAAAAGAATTATGTCAATACACGAAACAGTTATTGGAAAACATATACAAGAAAAAAAACAAGCAAAACGAAAGGATCCCGTTAAGAAACTGGCTTTAAGTGTCACAACTACTTTTTTGATATCTGTACTTTAGGTAGGTACAATATAAGCATAGTTTACGGTAGTACACTTTAAACAAAATCCTGTGGCAAAGTCGCCATACACCGGGCGTTTTCCTTGCGGTCGCTCGCGCCGAGTGCAAGCGAATATCGCCTAATGATGGTCAACCAGTGTCGTGGTGGCTCGACGGTTAAGAATTCCGCCTCATGCTTCTCATGCATGAGGGTGCGGGTTCGAAACCTACCAGCGGCAAATACCAATGTGACTTTTTCTGAGTTATATATACTTTCTAAGATTATTCAGACACCACTGACAAACGGTGAAGGAAAACATCGTGAGGAAACCTGGACTTATAATTTCTAATTATAAGTTTGAAATCGCAAACCCGCATTGAGCAAGCGTGGTGATAAATGCACAAACCTTCTCCGTGTGAGAAGAGGGTTTGCTCAGCAGTGGGCATTTATAGGCTATTCTGCTATATGGCTATATGTATGTGTGTGATGGTCAACCAACTTCGTAGGTACAGTATACACCGTGAAATTGATTCCGTGTCCGTCACACGGTTAAACAATTCGCCATAAGCAGTATTTTCGATGTAAAAAGTAAAAACAAAAAAATAAAGACGTCACGTTTTTTAAGTTTAAAAAAACTTCATCAAAATACGCACATGAGATATTATTTGTAGGCATTATTCGCAACGCACTGCACCAACGAGAAATACCTCTTCGGAAATAGGGTAGATGCCTAATTTTTATTTTAATGTCCGTCTGGTAGATTATTTTAAATCATTAGACACGTATTTTTTATTTTCTTACACAAACGAAAACTTTCGACGATATATTGATTTGAAATGTCGCGTGACGTCACTTCTATGTACATTTTATATGTAGAAATGACGTTTTAGCCCCCACTCCTAAACTTTATCTATTACCTATGTTACGGACAAATTATATTTTTAATTTTCATACTCTGTCATCATCCCAATTGCATGGCGTGTGTTTTGACAATGTACTATGACAATCCTTGGTAGTCTGATGCTCTTCATCTAATTCGGCTCTGGTTCAGACCATGTCATGTTGCGGAGCGTTAGGAACTGGGCTGGACGGGAGGCTGGATTAAATAGTGATGTAGGCAATGTTTTACGGACAAAGCCGCAGACGATCTCCGGCCACCGCAAGCACGGGCCTTCTGACGGCGAGCATGGGTAACTTACCGCCCAACCAGAACAAGACCCGAGCGTACATTCAGCGCGCGCCTCAAAGCGCCAGACCATCACAGATGGGGCCCAATAGGGCTGATACTGATATGGAACCGTGGTAGTCCTAACGGGATGCCGGGGTTCCGGCTCGAAGTGCAGCAGGAACAGGGTAGTTTTTAGTCAGTAAGAGTCTGACGCTCCCTCTCACCTAACCCAAGGCGGGAGGAGTTATTGAATGATTTTTCCCCTCATAAAAAAAGCGGTGGTAAGCTAGCTAGGTCTACACATTTTTTTTTTAATGGAATAGGAGGCAAACGAGCAGACGGATCACCTGTGGGCTTACTCTTGAATCCAATTCCGATCGATCGACATTGGTATTGCGAAATTTCGTACTCTTGAGTTGCAACATTGGCGTCCATTGCATCCGTATTGCGTGGATATTGAATGAACTAAATGGTATTGAGTTTGGCTTTATATTCCGTTCTCTAAATGCTATAGTAACAGCTACGATAGGGGTTGTATAGTTTTGACATTGAATAAGTATTTAGATTTTATTGGATTGAAATTGCATTGACATTGAGATTGGTTTCAAGAGTAAGCACCCTGATGGTAAGCGATCAGCGCCGCCCATGGACACCCGCAACACCAGAGGAGTCACAGGTGCGTTGCCGGCCTTTTAAAAAGGAGTACGCTGTAGACAATAGTCTACCTATATTAATAGAAGCATGTATAATTATCACACCGGCCCGTAGCACTCTGATAAACCTGAACCTTTTATTTATTTATAGAATAGAACGATATAAAACCAATTAAGTACAGTGGCCAGCACATTACCATTCTTCAATCTGTCAAATTTACATACATAACATCACGGCTTTTATCCCCGATGGGGTAGGCAGAGGTGCACATTATACTATGAGTCCCATGTAACTAATAGGGGGTGAGCCTATCGCTATATACCGGGCTGTCAAAATTCATGAGATTTTCGACTTTATATCATTACAATTAAGTTAAAGATCTAATTCAGAAGGACAGAAAAGGTTAGCTTGACCTGCTGAACATTCTAAACTATGGCCTGCCAACCGTGGCGATTACGGCAAAACCTTTTATGTAGAGGAGGCAAGTACCGTCCTTACCATGAGGGCACTTGGGGCTCGTGCCCAGGACCCCTATCCTCAGGGTGCCTCGAACGACCGACGATTTCTACGACGTACACACCGGTCCACGTTGCGGTAACCGGCTGCCACGCTATTTGTACCGGGATTGGTTCCCGGAGCAAATCTTTGTATACTCTAATTGTTGTTCCAGGGTGCTTACTCTTGAAACCAATCTCAATGCTAATGCAATTTCAATCCAATAAAATCTCAATAATTATTCAATGTCAAAACTATACAACCCCTATCGTAGCTATCAAAATAGTATTCAGAGTACGGAAAATAAAGCCAAACTCAATACCATTTAGTTCATTCAATATCCACGCAATACGGACGCTATGGGCGCTAGTGTTGCAACTCAAGAGTACGAAATTTCACAATACCAATGTCGATCGATCGGAATTGGATTCAAGAGTAAGCACCCTGGTCTGGGTGTCATGTGTATGTGAACTTGTATGTTTGTAAACGCACCCACGATACCTACAGGAGAAACTCCTAGTGTAGGTCAATGTACAAAAAAGAACAAAACAGTTTCCTAAAGGGTCCCTAATTTATCGTGGCCAAGGGCCCCAGCGAGGTCTAAGCCAGAGGAGGCCCATAGTCATAAGCAGTGGATTGCGAGGCTGATAATTACGGTATGATCGTAATAAAATAGGGTTTTTTTTTAAGGGGGGAAAATCATCGAATGACTGCTCCCACCTGGGTGAGGCGGAAGGGAGTGTCAGACTCTTACTGACTAAAAACCACCCCGTTCCTTCTCCTGCACGTCGAGCCGGAGCCTCGGTTACCCGTTAGGTTCTCCGCGACAATAAAATAGGGTAGATGACTAATTTTTATTTTAATGTCCGTCTTGTAGATTTTTTAAAAACATTAGACACGTATTTTTTATTTTCTTACAGAAACTATTAGGTAGGTACTTTCAATGATATATTGATTTGAAATAGGTATCGCATGACGTCACTTTTGAGTACGATTTATACTCTAAAATGACGTAGCTACCTCCCACTCCTAAACTTTGATTCGATTTATCTAAGTATTGTTTTTTTTTTATACCTACGACAAAATAAAAAATACGTGGTCTAATATTTTTTCATTACCTTACTTACGGACTAATTAGGTTTTTAATTTTCGTACCCTGTCATCATCACCCATATTATAGTGGTTAAGTTAAGAAATAATGAAAGTAAAATATTATTATCTACAATAAGGAGCAAATAAACGGTGCCCATAGCGTTTATTTTTTCATTTTTCATCGAACAAAATACTCTCATTTTAAAGTAACTAAATTGCCTTTTTACGACATACGTTACCGATTAATAAAATACTTGAATCAGAAAATATATACCTATGCAATGCATGCTAAGGAGTGGAATTTTTTGCCAGAGTGGTGTCTATAAGGCCCGAGTGAATAGGTTGCTTATGGCTCCATCCATCGTAGACCGCATCATCGCTTACCACTAGGCGAGATAGTGGTCAAACGTCGGCCCATCAAATACATTACAAAAATATGTTTACAATGAAATGAAAGAGAAAAAAGGCTAGTCGCTCTGTTTCTTTGCTCATTTGTAGGTATATAACTTAGTGATAACTATTTTAAATGACATTCCAATCAACTATTAACAATCAGTCGTTCTTAAGTTGTTTATAAACGATTCAATTATAATTAAAACGTCGTTTTTTATAAAAACAAATCATAGATGATTGCATCTGTCAAAATCATTTTAATTTTTTTCGTACCTACGCCACGCTGTGGTACAATACGCATCATCAATCAGCCAATAAAAAAAATAACTCACCCACAGATAAAACTAAAAATAAGTTAAACACAATCATTTTTCACTACACTTCCAGTCCTATTCACTTAGTTTTTTAAATACTAAATTGACTAGTCGAATGGCGAACACGCTAAAACTAATTACACGTCATTTTTCTGCTAATATTTTTGTGCGACTGGTAAATACATAGACGTCATCTTGGGAAAACCTTTGTGGTTTTGTGTTGTCAGCGTAGAATTTTGATTACCTTGTTTTTTGTAAGAAATTGATGAGGAAGGAAGCGGTGATTTGTGTGATTAGGTACTTAATAAGTTTTTTTATGTGATAAGCCGGTAAACGAGCAGACGGATCATCTGATGGTAAGCAATCGGCGTCGCCATGGACACCAGGATCAACACCATAGGCGTTACTAGTGCCTTACCGGCCTGGGCATTAGGAATTTGAGGATTGTTGGGAATTCAGGGATTGGGGAGATTGGAGGCGGGGGGGAGGGTAGTTCGGCTTCCGATAACCTCACTCACACGATGAAACACTACGCAAGCGTTGTTCTGCTCTTAAAATCGAGTAGCCTTATAGTATACGGGTTTAAGTGAGTTTGTGAAATTCCAGAATCAAATCCTTACTCCGATGATCTAAAAACCATTATCAACAAACGAAACAGTCAACTATTTCAAACAATTTCCCATAAATTCTCCCACAATTCTGACAAAAAGTTTTAGCATGGCAACACTCAGTTAATGTCTCACAAACGGGTTTAAGAGGTCAGAACACAGAGATAAACATTGACTTTGGTATTGGTGATTTTTTAAACACAATTTTTTATATAAACAATTTTATATTGCACTGTCGAGGTCAATTTTAATCGAGTAGGTAGGTAATTAAATTAGATAAACCTTATGTGTTTAAGAGGGGGAATATCAACAAATAATAACTACTCCCGCTCTGGGTGGGAAGCAAGGGGGAGTGTCGGACTCTTACTGACTAAAAACCACCCCGTTCCTACTCCTGCTTCGAGACGGAGCCCCGGCAACCCATTAATTATTGGGCCCCATCTGTGGTGGAGTGGTGGTCTGATGGCTCTTTGAGGCGCACGCGAAACGTGACGCGCCGTATGCTCGAGTCCCCGTTGATAATTGTTGAAAATCATCCCCTAAATTTGTTCATACAAAAGCAATCACTAAAACATTGGAAATAAGGTCTATAATATAGCTAATACAGAGCGGTCACCGGTGACCGCCTGGGGATATACGGGCTGGTTCTGGTCGGGTGGCAAATCACCCGTGCTCGCCGTCCGCAGGCCCGTGCTTACGGTGGCCGGAGATCGTCTAGCGATCCCCGACACCCAGAGTATCTCCCGCGACGGCTAGGGCGTGAGGAGGTTCGTTCCCTCACGCGCCCCGCCTCCTCCTTAGCTAGCATGACAGCTGAAACTAATCTATACTTATATTATAAAGCTGAAGAGTTTGTTTTTTTATTTGTTTGTTTGAGTTACTGGTCCGATTTAAAAAAATATTTCTGTTTTGAATAACCCATTTATCGAGGAAGGCTATAGGCTATAAAATATCACGCTACGATAAATAGGCGCCGAGCAGAGTGAGTGAAACCGCGCGGAAGAAGCTTTTTTTTTTAAGGGGGGAAAATCATCGAATGGGAGTGTCAGACTCTTACTGACTAAAAACCACCCCGTTCCTTCTCCTGCACGTCGAGCCGGTTACCCGTTAGGTTCTCCGCGACTCCGAATCGGCATCGGCCCTATTGGGCCCCATCTGTGGTGGTCTGATGGCTCTTTGAGGCGCGCGCGGAACGCGACGCGTCGTACGCTCGGGTCTGTTTCTGGTCGGACGGGGAGCCACCCATGCTCGCCGTCCGCAGGCCCGCGCTTACGGTGGCCGGAGATCGTCCCGCGATCCCCGACGCCCGGTGTGTCCTTCGCGATGGCTGGGTTGCGAGGAGGCAGCGCTTCGCTGCCTCACGCGTCCCGCCTCCTCCTTAGCTAGCATGACTGCTTCGCAAAAGGAGGAGACGGCATCCCAGTCCCCCTCGCTCCGCATCATGGCCTGCACTAGGCCCGGACGCGAGAGGTCGCCATCGCCGATCACTTCCCTGAGGGCACGGCGGTGCTCAGCCTACGCAGGGCATTCCGCTACGGTATGTTCCACCGTGTCCTCAGGGCGATCCTCGCAGTGATGACACCCGGGCGTTTCCTCCCGACCCATCAGACACAGGTACCTCCCGAAACTTCCATGTCCGGTGAGGACCTGCGTCAGGCGGTAGGTGAGGACGCCGTAGCGTCTCTCAAGCCACTCCTCAAAGAGGGGTCTTACCGCTGCAATGGCAGCGAGCCCAGCCCTCGGTTGCGACAGTCGTTGCTGCCATTCCGCCAGTAGCTAATATTGTTATATTGATTTGGAGCTAATATTGTAATATTGTTATATTGAATCACCCACTTCGGACTATATCCCATGATTGAATAATCATCCGAACATAGTACTACCTCCTAATTTTAAACTGGATACAAATAACAAAATATATCAAAACCGATTGAGTCGTAGGTAGCGTACCACACAGATACTAGCGACCTCTATTATTCTAATCTTTTTTACCAAGTCGTATAAACTGTATTATATTCAAAATTGGATGTGCGTGCTGGCGTTGCTGCCATAGACCTCGTTTACAGCCGCGGAGAACCTAACGGGTTACCGGGGCTCCGGCTCGAAGTGCAGGAGAAGGAACGGGGTGGTTTTTAGTCAGTAAATTCTATTCTTCAAACCTTCAAGAAAAGAGCGTACTCCTTTTTAAAAGGCCGGCAACGCGCCCGTGACCCCTCTGGTGTTGCGGGTGTCCATGGGCGGCGCTGATCGCTTACCATCAGGTGACCCGTCTGCATGTTAGCCTCCTATACCATAAAATAAGTAAGAGTCTGACACTTCCTCCCGCCTCACCGAAGCGGGAGAAGTCATTGCATGATTTTCCGCCCTTAAATAAAAAAGACCTCGTTTACAGAGACGCGGTGCGATGCTAGATGCGGCATCCGTCATACGTCAGTATGTAGGTATAGGTACATTACCGCAGCGTAGCGGCACTTATGATAATATTACCATGGCAGCGGGCAGCGTCATCGCTTGCGCAGTCACTTACATAGTTATTGTGAGTAGGTATTGTAATTGTATAGGACAGATAAATCAAATCAAGACTGATGAAGTGATGACTGTTGATGAAGCGCAAGACGGCAATAGGGGTAGTTGCCAGGATATAAAAATTAAAAATCGAATAATTGGGTAGTTTCCAGGGTAAGAAAATTAAAAATCTAATTATTCCATCAGTTTATATAACTGATGGACTGGAAAAAGTATTAGGCACGTATTTTTTTATTTTCTCGTATAAAGTTAAGTTTAGGAGTGGGAGGTAGTTACGTCACACGGTGCTACAATATGTCACGCGACATTTCAAATCAATATATCGTCAAAAGCATTTAATTTTGTGAGATAAGAAAAAATACGTGTCTAATGATTTAAAATAATCTACCAGACGGATATTAAAATAAAATTTAGGAAAGTACCCTATTGGCGTTGCTTAATCTATGTCTACCCTCATGGGCCCAATAGGGCCGATGCCGATTCGGAGTCGCGGAGAACCTAACGGGTAACCGGGGCTCCGGCTCGACGTGCAGGAGAAGGAACGGGGTGGTTTTTAGTCAGTAAGAGTCTGACACTCCCTTCCGCCTCACCCAGGCGGGAGCAGTCATTCGATGATTTTCCCCCCTTAAAAAAAAAACCCTCGGGAGAAAGGCGTGTGGTAGGTTTTTTTTTATTCTTACAAAGTTTTTAGGGGCTTTTATCACAGATAATGTGGTAGGTATGTGTATCAAATCAAATCAAATCACTTTAATGCGTCTATAGTGTACTGCCTTAGTACAAGTTTGATTTACGTTTAAAGTATTCGAAACGAGTACGCGTTCGGCAATCTGATTGGCCGGCGTAAATGAAGCAACCAATCAAAGCGCCGAACGCGTACTCGTTACGATTACTTTAGGCGCAAAAGAAACTAGTACTAAGGCCTCAAGATGGTCTACAATTTTAATAATGTTCCAACTATAGGATCTTTTTTGCTGTTTATTTTTTTGTGCTTAATGGGTTGACGTTGACCATCATCTCGACTGGTGGTAAGCGATGATGTGGCCGACGAACTGTTTAACTGAACTGTTAACTTAATGTTGCATTCTCACTCATCATCAGGGTGCTTACTCTTGAATCCAATTCCGATCGATCGACATTGCCATTGTGATATTATGTACTCTTGAGTTGCAACACCATTGCATCTGTATTGCGTGGCTATTTCATGAACTAATTGGTATTGAGTTTGGTTTTATATTCCACACTCTAAATCCTACTTTAACAGCTATGATAGGGGTTGCATAGATTTGACATTGGATAATTATTGAGAATTTTTTGGATTGAAATTGCATTGACATTGAGATTGGTTTCAAGAGTAAGCACCCAGGTCTTTTATCCCCGAAGAGGTCGGCAGAGGTGCACTGTACAATGGAACACCCATGTTTCATTATTTATATTATTAGTCCCATGTAATAGGGTGAGTGAGCCTATTGCCATATACCGAGCAAAATTCTACCCTACCTACTGCCTACCCTACAAAAAATCGACCACGTCGATTTTCTGTAGGTTCCTTTTAATTTTGAGGTCTCCGGAGTACATCTAGTGTGTGTGTGGTAGAAATCCCACATTCTCTAATATTTTTCTTCTCAAAAAAACTATTTTTTGAGAAGAAAAAGAGTTTTGAAGATTTTCTCCCTTTTCAACAAAAGATTTCCTTTTTTAGATGTTCATACTAAAACTTTTGTAAGACATGTACCTACTCAATTACTAAATTATTATGTCTTTGGTTTAGTCACGTAACTGTTTGAGAAAGAACTACTAGTTTCAAGCCATGCTAGAGCGATTACGCGACCCCTGACGCGGCGACTGTTAGAGTAGCAGCGCGACAATCGCCGCGTCGGCGTAGGCGAAACTAGTCGAGTTTCTATCCAAACATTTAAGTGTG